TCTGTTTAAAAAGAAAAAGGAAGAAAAAATTGACAAGGATGTCAAGCTTTAACCCATCTTGGAAGAAAAAGGGTAGAAACAAAGTGAGGTAATTCAAAAGCAATGCTAAGACAAGGGGGAAGAAAGTGATGTTTATCAGTTTTAAAGCAAGGGTATTGTCTTAATTACCTAAAAAGGAAAGAAATAGTGTAAAGGAAATTTCTTGGGAATTCCGATAAAAGGAAAACATGTTACCTAAGGGAGCCAATCGAAAAATAGAAAATGAATAAATAAAATTACGAGAAGTTTCCTACTAATTTAATATAAAAGAAACCAATATATTGGAAGAAAAGATGAGGTCCCCTAAGAAACTTAAAAAGAGAAAAATAAAATTTAAAACTGTAGAGAGAAAATTTACCTCCATATCTCTGTGCACATTTGGAAACCGAGTTGACATAGACATTATAATAAAAAGATTTAAATTTGAAGGGAAATAAAATACAGCTTAGCGTATAAAGATAAAAGTAAAACTTTACAAAATTTTTGTTTAATAGAAGACTATGAAAAGGAAATGATTAATAAAAATAAATAAGTAAAACAAAAATAAGGGGGAAAAATTCAGGGTGGGATAACCTAATCACTTTACAAAAACCAAAATTATACTAAGCTCTAAATAAATAAATACAAATATTAATAACAAGTTGCATAAGACATTCCCAAAAAGCAAGAAAGAGAAAAATTTAAATGTTAAGAAAAGGTAGATCGATGGCGCCCAATATTAGAAAAACTTTTATTTTAAGAGAAACAAACGAATTTAATATAACAGTGGCGCCTAGAAAGTTAAAAATATGAAAAGTTAAAAATATGAAAAATTAAAAATAAAATTTAGCCGGACAGAAATATTAAAAGAAAAACATAAATAAAATTAATAAATAGACAGAATAAATAAAATAGTAACATATTTGGGAGGGAGTCATAAAACTATTAGCGAGTGAGAGAAAATGGAAACAAAAATTAAGCGTTAGACTAATATAAATATATATAGTCTAATATATGTAATATAAAAATAATATATCAGAGTTGTTAAGGACCGGCGCTACAGGAGAGCCGCTACATTTTCTCTTTAAAAATGAGGAGCGGGAGCGGGAGTAGCTCCTTTGAAAAGAAATTACGAATTTAAAAATTGCTCCCAAGGAAAATTAAAATTTCCAATTTAGGTTAATAATTTAAAATTAATTATTTTTTGAACCGGTTTAAACAGTTCGGTTCCCTCTTTTTATATTTTCTTTATAACGGACGGTATAGAAAATTATAACAGGTAATTCCGGTTTGGCGATTCGGTTCGAATCCCTGATCTTGATAATGATGACTTGACAAAATAACTATGAATGCGCAAAATCCACCCCCCCCCCCCCCCCCCAAAAAAAAGATTATATATGACAATTATTATATTTTTATTTGTTATCAATTTATTAATTTAATTTTTCTTAAATCATATATTAACAAAATGTGATATCACTAATTAATCTGAATAGCATCTATCAAATAATGTATATATATATAACTGGATTGGCGATTCATTCATTAATTGCATTTTAAAATCCCATACATGGGCAGCTATAGCGACAGTAATTTGCACGTCGATTAAATTACATTAATGCATTCATATTGACAAATAGAGATAATTAGTCAAAGTGCAAACTCCAAAATGGCGCTACAACTGAATCATATGTAAGGGCACTTTAAATTAAAATCGCCAATCTATTATTATAGATACATCATTGTATCTATCATAAGTTTAGGGACAAGTTAGTAACTGACTTATGTGTTTATTATTTAATCACATTTAAGGTCATTAATGTAAATTAGCCTTACAGGTCCATATCGGACCTTTGGCCTATTAAAATTGATAAATATTTTTAGATTATGTTTTAAATATTTAATTTAATGAATTTGCATAATATTTAGTAGAGAAGGAAAAAAAGAAAATGATACATATTTTTAATTTTATTTATAAAAAGTCACTTAAAAAATATAATCAACTCAATATATAACTCCTCTTTCCTATCTTACCGTTTTTCAATGAGGGTCAGTTAACAACGTTGCTATACATACAATACTTGTCAATTAAATTGTAACACTTATTTATTGTCTAACGTGTTGTGTTCTATAATGGTGGTATAGGATGTTAAGCTTATGGATTTAAACCTAATACAAGATCTGGTAAATTACTGAAAATCAAAGAGCAAAAATAAATCCAACCACTTATGATAATTAGGATTGTATTAAAACTGTTACTAGATTTTAGAGGTGGGCTTTGGCCTGATTTTTTATTCACGGCGTGTCTGCTCACGGTGGCAATAAAATATTTCACGCTTACTACTAAAAAAAGACCCGCCCGCTCACGGAAGACAATATTTTGATCACGTCCAAAAATTCTCGGTGTTATAAATTTTTAAAACTTTATTTCTATATTTTTCCACTTTTTTGAATTTATTCTATCGTAGTTTTTATTTCTCTAATTCCTTATTAATGACCAAAATAATTACAATTTATAAATCAAAATTTTTATTTAAAAAATGTCAATGTTTTTTTGTTACAACTATGTTGGCTATAGAAATAACATTTCATTAGAACCCTAACTTGCTGGAGCTGATAAAATTTTACTAGCTAATTTTCTCAAAAAAAAGGAATTAATTTTCCTGAGTCCAATACTTCAAAATATTGTTATTTGTTTTATGAGCTATAAATCTTCAAAGTTCATCCTCACACCTTTCATCGGTAGATGTTGAGGTTACATCAAAATCATCTAGTAATTCTCTAAATGTTTCATTTAGAATATACGGTTTTTTACGTGTGCAGGATGAATTAGAAAAGTTAAAAATGATAGTTGCATAGTTTTATACATAGCATTTTAAGTTATTTTATATGTATCTGCCTTTTCACCATCTGTTAAAAACGTAAGAATTTTGGATTTAGAATTAAGCTTATCTTATATAGCGGTTGCATAATAAATCTTTCCTTTAAAAAAATGTATGTTCTTTAGGGTTTGTACTATTGTATCATCTTCTGAAGGTAGATAAAATTTCATTAATTTTTGTATCTATAAATAAATTTCATATATAGTGGGATGAGAATCAACATTCAGATTGTCTGAGAATTCCTTGAATATTGATAAAAAAAAATTATATAACTGGCTATGATATTAATGATCACTAATCGATCTAATTATTAGTTAAACATGCAAGCTTATATTTTCTCATGATTTTAAGCAACTTAGTATCAAATGTATATAGCATCGTTATTATATCTTAATGTAAAGTCTTGCTTGCTGTTTGCTGGAGATTGCTTAATCATCATGCAGTTGTATTCATTACATTATAAATAGCATGTAAAAAACATTTGATTCAATTATCTTTTAGATTTATAGGTAAATATGAGAAAATTTAAACAATAAGTTAAGATGTTCAATTTTCCTGCAATTTTACTGATTATAATTTGAGTGCAAATGATTAGTATAAAGATAAATGAAAATAAAACATTAAATTGAATTACCAAATTTCAATTGCTAAACGAGTTGAGAGACTACATTATTTTTCATTCAAATAAAATTAATCCTTCAAAAAGATTAAATTGTATTAACAAATATATATTATAATTTATTTCAAATATTCGTAAAAAAACAATTTTAAAATCCGTTCATGGGAAAAAGTTCACGCCTAATCAAACCCTGATAAAATTTTGGGAAGGTCCGTCACGCCTAATAATTTAAATTTTATTTACATTCACGCGGTGACCCATCGCGTCACGCATAAAGCCATTTTAATCCTGTGAGGCATCAATACCAATTTTATTCAATACTACTGGTTTAAGAAGAAATTATGTTGATTTTTTTAAAAATATAACTCAAAAAAAGGTTTAATTATAAACATGGTTTTGGATTTTATTCAAGCCTCGGGTCATACTCGTTTTCTTCCATAATAATTTTCTTTTATAAATTTTAGTCAAATGATTACTGAGAAAGAATTTAAAAAGATAATTTGGCACAGGTAAAAATTTCCTCCGATAATAATATTAACCATATTGCAGCTCTGGATTTTAAATATTTTTTTAAATCAGTATAGACTGTTAATCAGGGATCCTAAAGCTAGTGTTATTAATACCTAACTTATCTTAAAATAGTATGTCTCCAAGTTGAAAGTCTTTTTAGGCGAAAAGCTTGGCTACTGTATTGGAGTTGTCCAAAGTTAGATAATTTAACAATACTATCTTGAATAGAACGTATAGTAAATAAATAGATCTAAAATTTAATGCAAAACAGTGACCTTGCAAACCTTAAAGCCTGGACTCAAAATGATATAATTTTAAGAACTTAAGGTAGGCAAAAGTTTTGCAAACAAGTATCCAATTTAGTAAACACGCTGACCATGCAAACGTATATTACTTCCCATATTTATGAATTCCATCTAATACTATTTACAAATAGTAGGAATGACTAAATTTTTAAAAAAGATTGGGGCATGAATTTCAAAAACCAAGCCCACGAAATAAGATTCAAAAGTTCCTGAAATCTGTATGCAAATCGTCAATTTATATTTAAAAAAACATTCATGTATTTAATATAGTGTTCTTTATTTAATTAATTTAATTATTTTTTACTAATTAATAACAAAGGGATTCACTTATTATAAATGAAAATAATATTTAAAAAAAACCAATATACCCAATAAGACAGTTTATGATATATATTTTATAATAAAAAATAATTATATAAATAAATCTATCAATAAAATTTGTATTTACAAACAGTATTAAATATTTTAAAAAGTTGTGTTATACAATATAAACCATTTGATGAATGTATGTCCAATTTTTTTTAAAAAATAAGATATTAATTAATTATAATATAAATATTTTACAAATTTCTGCTAATATTAGTAAAAAAAATCAAAAAATATTAAAATTATTATAATATAAAAATACATGATTTGTTCAGAATTATATTTCCACAATTTTTTTAACCTGATCAGAGATAATCAATTTGAATGTACTGATCTAAAATATATAGTAAGATAATATAAAAAACATAATTTTAAAATTAAATTTTTATTTTTAAAATATAAATATAATTTTTTATTATGAGAAAAATAAGAGTACTAAAGGGTGATAAACATGATTTGATAGACATAAAATTATAATAAATCCTTTGATAATTAAATTTGATTTTTGAAAACGATTTTTTATATAAATGTATTTTATTTTTAAATAAAATAATCCATTTTGAATAATAATATTTCTAATCCCCAATATTTCGGTGTCACGTTACGCCACATCATGAATAAATGTTATTAATATCAGCGTGAGGTTGATTGGGAAATTGACTACTGTGACTTGTAAATAAAAAATAATTATATCTATTAAAAAAAATTCGCAAGTCAATGAAATGCTATGAATTTATAACATGTCTGCATTAAGCGGGTGTTTACGCCTATACTTCGGAGAAGAGTGGTCGGGTTTTTTAAAAATAATTTCAACATTGGGGGAGGGGGGGGGATTAAAAAATTTAAGTAATTGGCAGGTGTGGGAGACTGAATATTTATTTAAGATAGTTCAGGGGAAATGAGCGGAACAGACTTCAATTAAAAATAGTAGTTTTCATTCATAATATTGCACATTATATATGTTTAATTAAAAATACATTAAAATAAATGAATAAGGAGCCAAACCAGTTTTGAAATAATTTTTAAACATTAGGCGGGTGGGGTAAACAAATATAAATAAATGAATTATAAGTGGGCAAGCAGGCGGGTTAAAAAAATTTCCAAACAAGGAGTGGGCAGAACCCGCCCATTGCAGACCTCTAATCCTTATAGCAAAAAATTGCTATTTAGCTTATGAAAGGAAGTTTGATGTTAGCAAGAATGACCTTTATTTGTAGAACGTGCATAAAAGGGGTACATAATAATGATAACGTTAGAAAATGATGAACTGGATATTGGCAATGGGTTAACCCGGAAAGTGGATAAGTTTTGTTATTTGGGTGATATGCTAAATGCAGATGGTGGTGTAGATTCTGTCGTTGTTGCAAGATACAGACAAGCATGAAAGAAGTTCAGAGAGATGTCGTCTATTCTAAAATAAAAATTATCTCTGAAGTTAAAGGGGAAAGTTTATGTAAACTGTGTGAGGAGTTGTTTAGCTTATGTTGGCGAAACACGGGCAATGAAAGCGACTCATGAAGCCAAATAGAAAGAACAGAATGGATGTGTGAGGTATCTCTGAGAGAAAAACTAGCAAGGAATTGCGAGCAAGATTGGGTATAGAAATGATAGAGTGGTAATGCAACAATAAACTAAGATGGTTTGGGCATGTGGAACGTATGACAAAGATGACTGGGTAAAGATACGCATCTTGATGGAAGTAGGAGGATAAAGACCTATAGAGAAAGATGTGATAACGGTGGATATGAGAAGCATGAATCTTACAAATATTGATGCTATTAGAGGGAAAACTGGCCTACCTGGGTAAGCCTGGAAATCGCCATAAAACGGAGAAGAAGTTTTTAACTTATGGCGAAACTTATCGCGTTAAGTTTATCATTATTTTAAATTATTCTTCCAGTAAAATTAGTAATTAGTTAAAATCTTATAATAAAGAATGAAACCTAGATAAAACTTATTTAACTCTATATAATATTTACATATATGCAATAAAAATTTGTTCTATAGAATATAAAATATATTATTCAAACAAATTTTTGGCGTTTTTCGTGAAAACCACTTAAATTTCAATGAATCTAGATGCTGTCATGATTGCCGATTTCTTGGGTCATGAGAATGTTGCTGTCAGTTAAAAATTATTAAATTTATCATCTGTCCCAGTGTTGTTAAACGCTACTTTTAAAAGTGGCGCGCTATCGCTACCGCTATTTTATAAAAAAAGTAGCGCGCTATCGCTACCGCTATCGTTTTCAAATCCACAAATAAAATATTGATATAAAAACATGACTATAATTTGTTACATATATATATAATTTATTTATTATTGCACTTTAATAATAATAACATTTCGGTACTGTCATTCCCAAGTCTAGAGCGACGATTAGAAAGTATAAGCTTTGCCATACTAAATAATCGTTCAGCACTAGCACTTGAGGGCCACGCAGTATTAAATTTAATAAACAAACTTTTTATATGAAAAAAATCATCAAAAATATTTAAATTAGTATTTTTAGATTTAAAAAAAGCATTTAGAGGTTAATTAAAAATACTTCAGTATATTCTTTAATAAAGGTATGCTACTCCACATTAAAATACTGTATTCCCATTTGATCCAATATATAATTCATTTCCATTTTTTTCTCATCTAGAAACAATGCTAAAAGTTTCATAGCATTGTAAACACTATTCCATCTTGTAGTGTTTGGTGTCAATAAATAACGTCCTAATTTTTTTTTTGAAAATATCAGACGTCTTTGATGACTTATTTTGTTTATTCCAAAGAGCTTGGCATTTAGAAAATGTAGATCTTGATACTCTTTTAAAATCCTTATTTAATAATGCTTCTTCAGCATCCACTGTCGCAACTAAATTTAGGTAGGTTGTGGCAGGAAGAACGATGATGGCTAGGTAACGTAGAAGACTTTATTGAAGATCCTAAATATTATAAATTTTATTTTATATTGGTGAAAAATTAAATATAAAATAATTTAAAACCAAGGATGTCATGAACATCAATTATCTCAAACTCCATTTCATCATCCTCTTCTTGTTCTCCATCTTCAATATTTTTTTCAGGAATATTACTAGTATTGTTATTATTATTATCCTCCCCAAATATTCCATATTATTTATATCATATTATAAAAAAATTATAATAAATTTAAAACCTGAAGGCCTTTAGGAAATTAGACCCATTATCCGTAATCATCTTACAAACCTTGTTTTGAATTTTGTAAGACCTATGGATTTCTGCAATAATATTGGCTAGAATGTCATAAGTCTGACAGCCAATTATTGTCTTTAGAGCTTACAGATTTTGGTTTAAGATTTTTAGGATCAATTCAATGTGCAGAGCTCTAAAAATATGACATATTATAAATCAGAAAATAAACATTTTTACTTTTTATTGTGAGTCCAGAAATCTGCCATTGTACAGACGTAGGAGACATCTGATAGATTTAATATCAAAGATTCTTTCATTTCCTTAAAGCTCTCCAAAATTCTTACCATCAATGTCTGCCGGCAAAATATCTTGGTCCGTGGAGAAAAAGTGTTTGTCATCTTTATAAAAGAATCATTTTACCAAGGATAATGGTTGAACTGTATCTATTATAAAGTTTATAATGACTTTGTCAGCCAATTTTTGGGATACACCAGGTGTTGATGAATCCAAATTGGTTAATTTTGTTTGTATTAAATTTGATTTGGAAGTGGGTTTATCTTCTTCCATTACCCCAAAACTTTTGAGATATTTTTCAATCTCTTAATAATTTGAAGTGTGCACAGTCTAAAATTATAAAATACTTAGAATAAAAATTATGTAGGAGATAAGTACATAAAAATGATTGAAATAACTATTTTAAAATGTTTTAAATAATTTAGATAAAATTTATGAATATATAAAAAAAATATTGGTTTTTGATTTTAATTTATTTTAAAAATCAAAGATTAGCCTAAAAATTGATATTAAATTTGTTTAATATATTACCTTTAAATGTTTTTTCAAACTAAAGCTGCTCGTATGATTTGAAGAGATAATTTTGGGGCACATCTTGCACCGAAACCGATATCCAGTTATAATTTTTTCTTCAAAGTATTTCTTGAATTTTGGGAAAGGATCATCTATATTTTGCTCATTTTCCAAAGAAATTTCAATATCTTCAACAATCTCACACATAACAAGATTTATAATGCTTAATATAAAATGTAAAATGAAATGTAAAATGAAATATAAAATAAGATAAAAGCAAGGACATACCAATAACGGAATTTCAAAAATATATAATTTAATGAATGCGCGAAATATAAATTAATTACAGATTGCTATTTAACAACTGTTTATATCTAATATATAACAATAATGTATATTTTTAAATATAAATATAAATTTCAAAATTAAATTAAATAAAAGGATTATAATTTTAGATTTTATAAAAAATATATTTTAATAATTTTTAGATGTATTTATTATGTAAAATTGAAAGTAGCAAGCTACCGCTATCGCTATTTTTTTTTAAAAAGTAGCGCGCTATTTTAACAACACTGATCTGTCCATCCAGATATATTTTAATGCCATATGATTTGTAATACATTATACTTAAAATAATTTTATATTAATTACGGACATAAAATTGTCCTACATTAAAGGCTATTTTATTCTAATGCCGGCAAACGAGTAAGACAGTGTTAAATTTTATATAATCGATGACAGAGATTTTCTTTAGTAAGACTAAGAAAAACTAGTACAAAATAACGTTTTAGCTAAGTACCATTGATGTATATAAATATGCAGAAATTTTAGATTTTGATCTAGCCCATGGGAGGAGATATGCAAAATGTTTAATATTTACATTTTGAATTATGAATATCTTACATACAAATAAAAAATCATAGAAAACTACAAACGGCGTCAGACTTTTAGTAATATTAGTAAAAAATGGCATTAAACCGGGAATAAAATAATGGAAATTTATCTCTCAGGTTAGGTATTTTGAACTTTTTTAAAAAATTTGTCAAATTAAGCATTTTTATATTATTTTACGAATGTAAAAAATTATTTTATTATTTCAGTTGCTCATCTATAAAGATAATATTTAGAATCTAAACTCTTCCCCAATCATGGACTATTGAAGGAATTGTTTCTTAATTATAATTATTCCTTTACAGTGCTCTGCAAATTCCGGCTAATAGGCCAGGAAACGTCTGGAAATTTTTCAACCCCCCCAGGACAGGCATATTTTTAAAAAATATATTCGAATTAGATATTTCATAGAAGCAACATTCCATAAAGTAAGTGTTTTTAATTTAACCACTTCCCAAGATTAGTTTTTAGTATACAACAACATATATTTTAATAGGCCTTGTATTTAAAAAACCATGCCAGGCAACATTAATGAAAAATTAAAGGACTGGAAAAAAACCAAATTCCCACTGGGTAGGGCATGAGATTTTGCCAACCTCTAGTGAATCCCAAAATATGAAATCTGGAAAGAATTTTCCATGCAGATGTAGAAAAATTAAAAACTTCTATAATTTAAATGAGTATTCGATAATAATCCCTTGTATAGCATATATTATATTAATATTAGAAAGATATTTTTGTTGATAAGCTGAAACGTTTAATATTGAGTAATGAATTATATTGCAAATATGAAAGAAAACACAATTTCAATTGCAAATATGAAAGAAAACACAAATTTCAATAGGCTTGACATCTTACAACCCTTTAATTATATTTAATAAGTGCACTGCACGAACACGCATCTGCATTTGGGATGTACATCAGAACTTTATTTAACTATAATGATAATTGAAGGAAATTTACATTATTTTATCGTGCAAATCTTATAATACATCGCAGTACAGTTGAGAATTTGAATAAATTTTAATGTCCTGGAATAGATATAAATCAATGAAAGATTGCTAGATATGTCCATGAATCTAGGAATTGAATCTTTAATTCTAAAAGAGTAGTCATCAATAGATAGTTTAACTTTAATACCCAGGACAGCTCTTACTTCAAAATTCATTGAAATAATTTGGGCACGGCTTTATTTCTTAATAGGACTATATAAGACCCAGACAAAAGTAGTGAAATAAAAAAGCTGATTAGTTAAAAATCAGAAAAAAAACTTTTTAAAAAAAAATTAGTTGGCCTTTTATTATCTTACATATCTAAAAAAACTTTTTGTGAGCACAAATTAATTTTATGCATCCTTTTAAGATAATATAAAAACACTTAATTTGACAAGAAAAAATTAAAAAATTCGAGTGTCTTTTTGAGGTGAATTGATTTCCATTAATCTATTTCCGGTTTGATGTCATTTAAAAAAAATATTTTTTTGAAAGCCAATAAAATGAGACGTCTAACACCACTTGATGTTATCTGTAATCTGAAAGCCAATAATATGAGACGTCTAACGCCACTTGATGTTATCTGTAATCTTGGTTCATATTTGAGATATTTATGAAAAATGTCAATACTTAACAATTCGTATATGCTAAATCAAAATCTGAAATTAATATTTATCAATGGTAAACTACATATACCGAGCATCATTAAAATTCAAGGAGCCATACTTAAGAAGGATGGACTTCGTCGGAACTTTGTCTGTCAGGGAAAGGGGTGGCTGAGTCACTCGCAGGTGTTTGTTGCATGATGATGTTCATGGACGAGGAGCACTTAGAAGTTATATTATCTCGTAAATGTTGAAATATATTATCAGTGTTGGAGTTATTATCGGGTGCATTAGTTTCATTGTCCGGCTCTTTCATCGAAGCAACCATCATAAAATCTTGTTGACCACGAAAAAAATTATTGAGGTGTTCCCTCTGGTGTTCTGCTGCATCCTTTGCATCAACTAATTTCATTATGTTTTTTTTTAAAAAGAAGCTATTTATTTAAAAAATAAAATTTCCAATAAATAAATTTTACATTATAAATGTGGAGGTGCCACTGCCATCTATTTTTACTTTTTACACTCTATTCTTTTAATGTAATTTTTGACAACTATCTCAATTTCATAAGTAATTACTTGAGAACTTCTAGGTTTCTTTTGTGTCCAAACTATCCTGCAATTGCAAAAATGTTAGTACTCAGCTAAATTTCATTTTGGCCCCGTTCATCACCTTAATTATCTAAATCAATTCATATATGATTATCAATTTTCATCTTATCAATAAATTTTAAAATTTAACAATCCATCAATTTTCATCCATATTTGTAGTCACATCGATATTCACATATATATAATCGATCAAACATTACTTCAAAAACAATTTTATAACTATTATTTATTCATATTAATATATTGTATTAAAAATGTCTATTAGCATAGAGGATGAACAACGAGGTCAAAAATTATTAAATAGAGTAGCAGCATTTTTCATTTAAAAACTAAGGAAATTTTTTTTCGTAATAAGTCTTGCTTAATGAATCGATCTCCTCGGGAACTGATACTAAAATGTTCCCAGGAATTATTTAATCAAATATGGAGAGTTGTCAAAAACCATAGAAAAATTCATATTATTTGTGGAAGGAGGAGAAGACTATGAAACCCCCTTTGTAGTTTTGTTCTTTGGCTAAATTTATAAGATTACCATTTTTTGTATATCACTAAAAAAACAAACCCTCATATTCATTATCCATTTTTACGTCCATGACATCATTAGATTCATTTTTAGAGTCTTCGTCCATATTACTGCCATCTATACCAATTTCGATTGCCTTAGATTCGAGTATCGATTCCATAGGGCGTTGTTGTAATCGGAAATTGTTCGAGTTTTCATTCACAAAATTATTTTGCCGCTGCATATGTTGCTGTATGTCTAGGGATGGTGATGATTGGTCCGAGTTGTAATTATGGGAAGGTAATGTATTCCTGCGATTTAACAGGGCTGCTGCGCTTCTAAAATGGAGGTCGGATTGAAGGTGATGGGAGGATGCTTAAGAAGGTATATGATGGTTTAGATTGGGTTTTAAAAAAGGGGAAATTATTAATCAATTCAACTATGTGCTTACAGCTTAGTATTTAAATTATGGAATATTTTATAGAATAGGTAAATTGATAACTATTGAACCTCCTATTATAATGCTTTTTTTAAACTATATTTTATTCTTTTGCTCGATTGCTGGAGAGACGTATTTTTCTAAAACCAATCTCTTGGCGAAGTTATTAAAGAAGAAACTCAATAGATATCCACTTATACCCAAGAATCAAATATTTAAAGCAAATCTACAGGTCCAGCTGGTCTAAAAATGATATGACTTATAAAATCAGGGCTGGTCCAGGCTTAAAAAATTTTAAATTCAGACTGGGCTAAAAAAATTTAAACAAAGCTTACTTTTATATTTTTTTTCCAAAATTATATCAGTAGGAAAAATCTTACAATGGAGGGATTAATATTCATTTCCTTGTATTTTAAATATTTTTTTTCAAAACAATAAAATTTTGGGGGCAAACAATTTCCAAAAAAATCCCAGAGCAGCCTTGAAAATCTCTTTTTTTAAGTCTAGGCCGGATCTAAAATTTTGAGCTCTGCAGGTCTCTGATCCAAAGTAATGCATATGCCTTTGAAGCTGATTAGAAAAGAGTAATTTAATTAATATATAAGACTTTAATTACTCTGTAATTCGGTTTTATAATCGCTATTAAAGTAAAAAAATAGAAATATTTTAAGGCCTGGCTTGATTGGGATTGAGGTTTCACATGCTCATTCAATTTTTTACTAAGGTTGCCCAACCTGGCCTTAGATTTAAAATATAAGGCTAAACTCGGAACATATGTAGTTGAACACCAAAATAAACAACTATTTATAATATTGAGAGGAGTAGTAATTACTCCTATCAAATATCAGAATTTATCTATAAGCCTAATAAAAAACTATTCATAATAAAGGTATGTATAAAAAGATGCGTTCAACAGCTATTTTTACATCTAAATTTAAATACTGGTAAAAAAATAAAATAATTGAAATTGGTAATCAAATTTGTAAGGCTGGTGGACAACGATAACATAACAAAATAAAGTAATGCTCTAAGCAATCATATTAAGCATTTGTAACATGAGCCGATAATCCTATCAATTTGTTATATGGGACACAGAAAGAAATAAGAGCAAATTAAAAAAATACTATGATCTGTGAATTTGGAGAAATTTTTTTTCTTCAAATTGTAGATATACATTACTATTAAAAATTATTTTTTTAGAATTTTATTATCATACTATAACTTTTTTCTAAACTATAAAAATAGTAATTATTGAAAAGTGGAGATAAAAATTTATAGTCAATTATACTATATTAAGAGTGATAAAAATGGCTGTAAGCCATATGTTTTTTACCATACCTCACGTTTGACGCATTATATATCAAGAAGCCTATAACTCAATAACAATAATTTGTCATAATAATTAAGGGATATTTTTGACAAAATTATCGTTTAAATTTTATGCAGCCTTAGGAGTAAAAACAAACCAAAATGTTTGGACGTGGCTTATATGGAAAAAAACTTACAAGATCTTTGAAGGGGTGATGAAGATGAACGTATATGCGTAGAAACATGTTCGTTCTGATCGTATAAAATATTTCGCCTGACGAATTCCTGGTCATCCTCGTCATCTTCATCGTGACTATGTTGGGCTTGTATATTTGATTTATCAGTATCGAGCATATGAGTCATTTCTTGTTTAATCAAGGATTGAGACAAGGCCAATCTGAATTATTTTTCAAAGAGAAAGAGAGATTTAAAAATATCAAAATTTTTAAAACTAGAAGTACATATTATTGTTGAGAATCGTCCTTTCAGCTGTTTCGATATTGTTAACATCGTTGACCAGAGAGGATGTAAGCAAATTGTGATGTTCCTAAAAATATATAATTTTTCCATTCAATTGTTTCTTTATTTAAGTAAATATAACTAATGTAATAAAAAAAGGAAAACATATAATTTTTTTCTGAAGACAAAATAAAAAGAATTATAATTAAGGAGAGAAAAGGGAGAATAGTAAAATAAAACTAGGAAGGAGAAGAAAATAAATAATAAGAAAGCATGGAAGATTATTCGATAGAAGAAATAAAGTTTAGGTAGTCATAGGGAATAATCATGGTAGCAAGCCTTTACCGCAAAAAAAAATTACTTGGCTAAAACAAATTAAAGGTTTTTTTTTAGTTCAAATCAAGTTAGTAAAAAATTATATTTAATCTTACCCCAAACAAAGGAGAAGCGACTGAGACATGTTCCAAGCTATTTTTAGATGAGCGTCTAAATTATTATTTTAATAAAAAAAATAATTTTTAAATATTAAAAAGAAACTTATATTAAAACTTGTCACCTTACTAATTATATATTTTTTCTAAAAAAAAACATTATATAGGATTTAATAATCATCATGAACAGAGTTGCTAGGTCTACCGCACATTGAACAGTAAGCTACAAGATTTTTTTTAAAAAATTAAATAGAAACGCACTCAACTCAGCAACCTCAATTTATAAAATACGAAAAATAAATAGCTCTATTTACCCCGGACCAAGGAGTCGATCCTTAACTTCCCCATCATCAAGGCATTCCCTTTCCTGATCTCCCAGAGCTTCAGAATGCAACCCGTCTTCTTCGTTTTCCTCGCTTTTAACGATGGTCCCCATCATCCCTCGGCTGCATCTCCTTTCGTCTATATCACGTTGCATCTCATTTAAGTCCCTTTCATTCAAATCGCTTTCGTTTAAGTCTCTATCGTCTTCATCCTGCGCTTCGACGTGAGCTAAGAGACCTAATTATAAGTTGGTAATATAAGAATCGTGCTATTTTTCAAGAGACGTGATATCTTCCCAAGCATTTTATCGAGTTCGAAATACGGGGGGGGGGAGGGTTCCACTTTAAATATGATGCAAATCTATATTAGCATTGGACATATTTCCACATAATGCCAAAATTTTCTTACTACTTATCCTATTAAATTTTTTTCTTTTTTTGCTTTTGTGGGAATCAAACCCAAGGAAGGAAAGACATTTCATTTATTCCGATTTCTTAAAATTTTTAGAAATTTATTTATTTAATTCTATGCTAACAATATAATAAATCATTTATTACTAAATATCGCTAGACTAACTACATAATAAACTATTTATCACTAAATATCGCATGACTGCAAAAGTCTCAGGGCTAGCCAGAAAATAAATCATTTATTACTAAATATCGTACACCAGAAGAAATCCTAATATTATTAATGTTGTGATTTAAACAATTGTGTAATTATTTTATTGTCGCGGGGGATTTTGTATGACCTTTGCAGCCGTGTGATAAATAAAACCAACTTAAAATAATAACTCTTAATGCATTTCAATAACATACATATCCTTGGTGTATTATTAGAGTGCCGAGTCAGACTCAATATTTTAATAATAAAACCTAGCACTCCCAATACGTTCGAGGTAGCGTCTAAGTTATTGTGGTTAGAAATAGCATTGGAGAGGTCATTGCCGATGCCAGAATTGTTGGAATTCTTTTTGGCGGCAGTAGCGGCAGCTACACTAGAACGCCTTCGGTAATATTCAGCTTCGTCTACGGTCCATACGGCCCCTTTGACGTTCTCGACTCGCACAAAACATCTGTGAAGGCTGAGATTGTGTCTCACAGCGTTTTTCCAAGTGGCGGCATTTTTACGGAAGTACACAAAAGAGGCCTGAAACCAGTTGTATATCTCGTTGAGCGTTAATTGTCCGTCTATAGATTCTATGATGGCCTGGCGGATCAAGCTGGCATATGTGAAAGGTGGTCGAACGTCGTTAGAGGCATAGAACTCGCGGTTCTTATTTATCTCTGAAAGATCCGTGATTTGATTTTTAAGAAATAAATTATGCACTATTAAATTTTGATTTTCTGTAAAACACATAGATTGGAATGATCCGCAAAGCCTGGCCTACTATAATGTAGGGGGTAAATTTATATATAAAAAAAATTTCGGGTTGAAATAGTCAATGTATATATACAAAAAAGCTGGCAGGGCTTTGCATATCTCTATCTCTAATTTTTCGTAACATATTAATAGGCCACCACGGGAATTAAAATTTAGATATATATTTTTAAATTTCCGTCCAATATTTTGATTAATACTATTTGAAAATCAATTCCAATATTCTTATTTCTTTGTATTTTAAGAGCCAATTAAAACACTAAATCTATAAATAATATAATTAGGGCTGCAACGATATTACATATCGGTATCGGATCGGCACTGATAAAGATACCGATTTTATAAGGCAAAATATTTTAATTTTAGATTAACCTTTATAACTCCTATCAAGAAAATGTGAAAAAGGAAATAAAAAAAATGTTAATGTTTCTTTTTCAAAATTGGCATAAATTTATTGTATAAAATAAAATCCATTCATACAATGGGTCCGTTCTGCATTGAGAACAAAAGCCTATCTAACATAATATGCGGGTTTAATATTGGGCAGGGATGTGAAATCTTCAAAAGGGTCCAGGTTCCTGGTTCAGGAAACATAAAAAAAATGACTCAAAATAATACTTTTTTTCATTCAATTATTATTATACTTCAATATATACATATATATTATATACATATATATAATTTACAAATAAATAATTTATATTTTAAATGTTTTATTCAATCGCACAATCATAATATCTTCTAAAATATCACCCTTAAGATTTCCACGTAAATTAGACAATATATATTTCAAAGATGGAAATCCACGTTCTACCCTGACCTAAAATAGATAGTTATCTTTATAATACATAAATTATTGTACTCGTGTCGCCGATAAAGCCATGACGATTCTAGATAAGATATATAATTCTGGATATATTAAAAAATCCCAGAATTTTAAAATATATGTAACCTTATTTATTCTCTTAACTTCGGAGATTTTTCTAAGATGTTATAGACATTTTTTTTATCCCCTATCTGATGATTAATTGATTTTTTTTCTCTATCTAAAAGTAAAATTTCATGATCATCAATGTTGCTATCATTATCATAATTATCACTACGACCAATAGGTATTGTCATAGCCTCTAATATGTTGTAAATAATGGAGTTTAGTGTATGCAATAAATCCTTAAGATAGTCTTTAGCCATCTGTTTTTGCTCAATACTCAATCAAACTTGATATCGAGGGTCTAAATATATAGAAGCGTATTTGCTTTCTCGAATTTTCATGTTTTCTAATATTTCGTATGAAAAGGACTAGTAAATCTTTCTAAATCTAATCGACATCTAATGCATATGCCATAAAAATTAGATAAATAATTGTTCTGATTGTAATCTCAATTAGAGATCTGCAAAAGTAGGCCCTCAATTAGAGATCTGCAAAAGTAGGCCCGGCCCGTACCCGGTCCGAACGGGCTTCGGGCCTAATATTTTTTTAAGAAAATTCGGGCCGGGCATTAAATTTTTTTTAAAATATATCCAAATTTATCAATTTTATATTGAATTTTTTATGTAAAATAAAAATATGTGATTTTATTTATAGAAAGTAGACGCCATATAACATATATCGTTTATTTTGAGTAATTATAAGAATTAATTTCTATATTTAAATAAATTCTGGCCGGGCCGGGCAAAACGTTATAAAAAAATTAGGGCCGGGCCGGGCTTGAAAAATTAGGCTGGATACAGATCACTAATCTCAATGTTGTTATTTTTAAAGGAATTTAAGGTCCTTTATTTGGCTCAATCATCTTAAATTAAAATATTATTACTTGCCCTATAAAAACATTCACTTTGAAAATAATCAACGTATATAACATATTAATAAATTTATATAAAATATTATTACCTACATTAAAAAATAATTTAATTAAAAAAAAAAATTTATGACACCTAAAACCCTTGGACTCTGCACTTTTAAAAAGAGTTAGGGTAAAACCAAAATACGAGGGTTCTGGAGGGTTCAGATTCACATCCGCTATTAGGTATAACAATCTGACTATTTGAAAAGTAATAGATTCAATAACGTGAATTTAAATTAATAATTTTTTCTCATCATCCATTTTTATTATATCATCTGAAAATCACATCTGAACAAACCAAATTAAGTAGTGCTAAAGGTTTATTACAAAACTGTTCACCATCTTCTGTGAATGCAGGCATCTAACAATATAATGATTATATATATTCAATCTTTTAAATTAGCAGTTATGAAATAATGTGATGGAATTAACCCTTTCGCGCCCGACTTTTTTTCCCTCGATGAAAATTTTTTTTTTAAGAGATACTTATTATAGAGACAAATAACACATTTTTATCAAAAAAACTTATTTCGAGTATTTCTATCAAAAAATATTTAATGATTCCAAATGTCATCAATGGGAAAAATGCAAGTTCATTTAAAAAAATATTTCATTTCATATGAAATGACAAATAACAATTTGGTTTATAATTTAAACAGAAATAAATATTACACTTTTGACACATAATTCTTGAATATGCATACGCAATACTTGCACCTTTGTTTAATTGTTACGGGCTTAGGGAAATGACCTACTTGGTCATATCTTATATCCGATATAGGGACAATATTTATTGTTTTTCTTCTCTTTGCAACTATACTGGAAGGTCTTCCAGTCTTCTTGTTATTATCCTTTCCAGCTAGCATCAGCCCTTTTGCTATTTGAGATTTAAATACAAATAATATCATAAATTTGATATTATTTGCTATCATATGGCGTCTATAAAGGAGCCATGCATTTATTACACAAGAATCTAATAAATGGAAAACCATTCGCATATAATATCATTTCTATTTAATATCTGTCCTATATAACTCCTCCAGCATATCGTGAAGATCTACTCCACCCATTCCCTCATTATAGCGGATATTTCATTTATAAAAGTTTTGTCCGATACAAACCATCGTTTAATTTTGGTCGTAGGTAAAACACCTATAAAATTAGGTATTGTAATAACAGCTTTGTTGTCCTGCCATTTGCAGATAATAATACCGTTTTTTTTCACTTTTATAATCTACAGCGCCTCTTCCTTACTTTTTAAAGCCTTATCGTTTTTAAGTGTGCATCCTGATAATCGATTAGACCTTACCGTTCCGGACACCAAATATCCTTTTTTTTAAGAATCATAAATAATTGGTATGAGGAGAAAAAATTATCCGTATATAATTTATGTTTTTATTTGATGGTATTATTTCAGACAGGCGAAGTACGATATCTCCACTGATACCTAAATATGATTTTATAGATTAGTAAACTTTCCCTGGTATATTTCAAAATCATACATAAATCCAGAAGAGCCACATAGGGCAAACACTTTTATCCCCTATTTATGGGGCTTCGATTTAATGTATTGCCTTAATTTAGAGCGCCGCTTGAAAGGAATTATGAATTCGTCTACAGCTAACTTCTCTTCGAGTTGAATTTTTTAGAAATCTTTTTTTAGCTGGCATATGAAAGGTTGAATTTTGAATAATTTGTCCTAACCTTTATCTTCTCTATTTACCATATTTTTGTTATTATTAATATGGAAAAATTTTCGGATCAAAAGAAAACTATTGCGGGACATAGTTTCTGATACTTGTGGATTAGATGTCTCAACCGACCAATACTGCCGTATAGAAGGCATCTTAACTAAGCTAGTATACAAATGTATTCCAATAAATTTTTCAATTTCATTGCTATCAGTATTTATAGATTATCCACAACATTGGAGGAATAAATATTTGCATCTCTCCATATCAGCTTCAGAAATATCACCCTCGGGGATAAATGTAGTCATATCTAAATGCATAGTGATTAAAAAGTATCTCATATTATTACATGTTATATATATAAAATATTTATTAGGACCTCCCCCTATATCCAAGAAAACTATTAGCCATTAAATAATCAATATAGTTAACTATTATCAAAATATAATCTGATTATCCCCCCCCCTCCCCACTTCTGTTTTAACCCTAAATCTAAATATCCTAAATAATTTGACTAAAATTCCCATTTATTGATAAAAAAATATTTTAGTGTATAAGAAATGACTATTGATGCCAAATGGCATTATGCTCATGATAATTTTTATATAACCCTTTCGGCGCCCTGATAACTTTTGAAATCATATTTTTAATTTTTAATATTTGCTGTTTCGTATTTTATCAATAACTCGCTTTGTTACATACGTTATTATATCATATTATAGTCATAAAAAATCAATTTTTTCGTACCAATTTCGCGCCAAAATTTTAATTCATTTCTGGTTATCAAATCTTGCTAAAAATATAAGTAATAATTTTATTACTAATATATATAATTATCATCTTATTAATCATTTTACGTGTTGGAAATTGAACATAATGCCATTTGGCATCATTGGTCATTTCTTATGCATTAAAAATTTTTTTATCAATAAATGGAAATTTTTGGCAAATTATTTAGGATATTTAGATTTAAAATTATGGAAATGGAGGGGGGCGGTAATTAGATTAGATAATAGTTACCTATATTGATTATCTAATATCTATTAGTGGGTTTTCTTGGATATAGGGAGAGGTTCTAATAAATATTTTATATAAATAACATGTAATATGAAATGCTTTTTATATCAATATGCATTTAGATATGACTACACTTATCCCCGAGGGTGATATATCTGAGGCTGATATAGAGAGCTCAGACGAAGAAGATAATTATTATACTTTGCTGGGAGATGATTTGCCGACATCATCTTCTATAACGAATGAACTAGGTCTTCAATTGGAGGATATAGTAGAAGATACAACTATAACTAAAATAAAAGATAACCCGATTTGGTCTAAGAAAGACATCGGACAAATTAATTCAGAATTTATCCCTATTTTGGAAATTCCTGAACATGATTCAACTCCTCTAAC